CACCCCGGCGTAACGGTGAGGACCTCTCGCGCAGAAGGGGAGTACGGAGGCGGGGGGGAGGGTTTGTCGCGGTTGGGGATGGGATACCGATTGCGTGTGTGTGTGTGTGCGCTGTCGTAGGACCGTTATGCTGTTGTGAGACGTCAGGGCTTGCGCCTTTTGGTATTGTTGGGCACACCAGAGAGCCAGCCACGATCTCACCGAAGTGTGTGGCGGTTGTTTTTGGAGGTTATTGGTTAGGAGTCTTGTGTCTGACGAAGTAGTTAGAAGTGTCGTGGTAGAAGGGACGGGGTTGGACACGAAAAAACGAGCACAAAAGTGCAGCGGTGGAAGATGCCTAATCGTCCCGTCACGTCCCGTCCCGTGCCATGCCGCCTCGTCCCATCCCGTCCCATATCTGCCCGTCCGTTGGGTTGTAATTGTTTTTTCCCGCATGTTTGTTTCTCGCCGCCGCTGTCTGATACGGCTGAAACCAACCGAACCAACCGCGATCGAATCGACATGGACATGGGGTGGATCACCAGAGCAACCGGCAGTACGTGATGGACTTCGTGGGGAACCTCCTCCTGACGTCGTTCCCAAACCTGACCAAGGCCCAGGTGGCCGTCTTCGTGGCCGGCCTGCTGAACTCGGACATGGACCTCAACACGTTCAAACTACACCTCCGTGACTTCCTCGTCACCCTCAAGGTGTGCATCAAATCGATTTGCAGTAAGGAGTCTTTACGCCTCCAACATGCATGTCTATAATCATCGTTTCGCTTGTTAGTCTCTGTGTAAGGGGTCGGTCAATCTGTCTCGCTTTTTTGTAGCCGTTATCACGCTCGTTGATGTATCATGTTCATTGTTTTGGTTGTTTTTCGCGTCCTCCCTGTGTCTACCCCCCGCCTTCTGCCCTCTCCTTTCCTATTTCCATTTCTCGAAAAACAAACGCGGTTTATTTTTCTTTGCTACTGAAACGACGGTGGTTTTGCCAATTTGCTTCCCGCTTTTTTTTCATTTTTTTTTTTCCTCGTTTGCAGGAGTTCTCAACCGAAGACAACGCCGACCTCTTCCTCGAGGAGAACCTCGCCAAGAAGCAAGCCGACGAGGACAAGGCCAGACAGGCGCAACTCGCCGTGCCGGGTCTGGTAAACCCCCACGATTTGCCAGAGGACGACATGGCAGACCTTTAGATCTACGACCCAGCTCCCTCCCTCCTTGCTCCCGCCCCCGCGCTTCCTAGCTCTATCTTGATTCTCTCCCCCGCGCTGGCGGCGGTGTAGTCGTGTTGTCCTTATTGCACTTATAGTAGCTAGCACTGCTGTGTTTTTGTTTTAGTTTTGTCCCATTTTTTTTTCTCTCTTGTTTCTTTTCTTTACAGCAGTCTCCAGGACGGGCAGTGCTCGCTTTCTGCTGATATGGTGGCAAGGTGGACAGACGTCTGGGAGTTGTATTCTATGGTATTGCTACCACACATTTTTTCGGAGCACGGGCCATCGGTAGAGCGGCCACAGCAGCAGCAACTGCAACTGCAAGAGCAGCGGCAGCGATTGATTGTGGCAAAGGCAGCCGTCGCAGGTATATGAGTAACTTATGGTAGGCATCAGCTGCGGTAGTAGCGACGACAGCAGCAGAGATGAGGATGGGGCAGCCGAACGGTGATCGGTTAGGGCGTATGTTTGCGTTTGGCGGTAGCGTTGAGCCGGCTCGCCCGGCCACAGCAGCACCAGAGGCACTGTTGTTGTGGGCTTGAGGTACGTACGTAACTGGGCGTCCTAGACGTTATACAGGTGGCGCCACATGTTGGCCCGCGGCTGCGTGCGGCAGAAGGTGTTGTTGTTGTTGTTGTCGTTGTTGTTGTTGTGCGTTCCGTACTGTATTGGATGTGCGCGCGAGCCGGAGGGAAGGGGTTGGAGATTGTGGTTTCTGGCGCGTGCGTGCGTGTGTGTGTGTGTTGCTTTCCTTTGCATCGAGCGCACCAAGCTTCTTGACCAATGAGCAAGAGTCTTGCAGGGGGCAAGCGCGGAAGGAACCAGCCACAGCCAGCCCTCCTTTGACACAAAGGGTGGGGGGTGGGGAAGAGGCGTTGTGTGCGCAATAACCGATGTGAATGCACGGCTGTACGAGAGAGAAGAGGACGAGGGAACTTCCTTGCCTTGCGAACAGGAACAAATGATAATGGCTTCTGCCCTTGGGGTCGAGAGGGGGGCGAGGATTTTTTCTCGAGTGCAAGCATGAAGCTCTAGTAAAACGATCGAGTTTTCTTTCAAGATAGGCAAGGAGGGAAGAGGGCCCCGGGTATGGATGTATCACCCGCCTCGCTACTAGTGCTTTATCCTTGCTGCTGCTGCTGCTGCTGCTGCTGCTGGCTAGTCCAGGTTTTGTCTGCCAAAGGAAAGGGATTAAACGTTGATGGGAAAGCCAGCAGAGTCAAAACCAATGACGGGGTCATCCTCAATGCGCTCGTTGTTTGTGGGTCCTCCCAAAAGCCATACTACCACCTATATCTTGTTTTGCCGCGTGGATACGGACACACAGAGAGAGAGAACAACCTTAGAATGAATGTTTTTGTCCGAGACACCGCGCTGCCATCGTTTGTGGTGCAAGCTAGAGACTGCTGCTGGCTGTTCGCGCCGGGACTGGGGGGGGGGGG